AGTGGCACCATTTAAGATGACACAGCAGTGCCAGCCTACCTCCCCTGGCCACTGCTAATCTGATTCTGACATATTCAAAACACTAAAGCAGACAACCCACTGAGAGACCTCATCTCCGGCAGCCGCCCTCCCATCCTCACTGGTCCATGACACTCTCCTGTACTGCTCCAGCCCTGGGGGTGCCAGGAGGATCTAGGCCAAGAGTGGACCTCCTGGGCCACACAGGAGCCTGTGGGGGCTGGACAATGCCACTTGAGGTCACAGGGACCTACTAGGAGGAAGCTAGCAGGTGGGCTGCCCCCCAGAGACAACCAGGCCTGGGTGGCCTGAGGACACAGTCCCAACTCTGGAAGGAGTTCTGCCTTGTCCCAGGGAGCTCCAGCCAGGGTGGGAAGGAGAAGCGGGCACACAGGACACCTCACCAACAATCACCATCTACGCCAGAGTCAGAACCTCTTCTCCAAGTCACCAGACAACTCAGCATTCAAACCTCATACACAAGACCACCCCAAAGGTGCATGCATGTGCATGCGTATACACACACACACACACACACACACACACACACACACACACACACACACACACAGGTTTGACACTCTGGCCTTTACTCTCCGTGATGGTTATTATCTTTTTACACTTGGATTTGTAAACACAGTGTTCACAGATAATTTTATTCTTTCACATGCTATTCACTTGGTCATAGGGTGAATGAGCTCTTAGCCAGACAGGCCTCCCACTGGTGGGATGAACTATTCAAAACCCATAGCATAGTTTTAAACCAAAATGTGCTTTTCTTTTATTTGAACATTTTCTTCCACATCAAGTTTGAGGACCACATACAAATTCCTGATGAAAAACATATAACCTGAATTTAATCAAAGTCTAAAATATTTGCCAGAAAAAATAAAACCAACTTTCTTTCTTTTGGCAAAAATTATTTGAGAAAAATATAAGATATTATTGTCAAATTATAAAATGACCAACCTACTATCAAATGAATGTATTTGATCTCCATTTACAGTATTAAAGAGTACAGACCCCAAATAGCCAAAGCAATCCTGAGAAGGAAGAATAAAGCTGGGGGGATTACACTCCCTGACTTCAAGCTCTACTACAAAGCCACAGAAATCAAGACAATTTGGTACTGGCACAAGAACAGACTCATAGACCAATGGAACAGACTAGAGAGCCCAGATATAAACCCAGACATATATGGTCAATTAATATACAATAAAGGAGCCATAGATATACAATGGGGAAACAACAGCCTCTTCAACAACTGATGTTGGCCAAACCGGACAGCCTCATGTAAGAGAATGAAACTGGATTATTGTCTAACTCCATACCCAAAAGTAAACTTGAAATGGATCAAAGACCTGAACATAAGTTATGAAACTGTAAATCTCTTAGAAGAAAACACAGACAAAAATCTCTTCAATATAAACATGAGCAACTTTTTCCTGAATGTATCTCCTCAGGCAAGGGAAATAAAAGCAAAAATGAGCAAATGGGACTACATCAAACTAAAAAAGCTTCTGTGCAGCAAAGGACACTATCAGTAGAACAAAAAGGCATTCTATAGTATGGGAGAATATATTCGTAAATGATATATCCAACAAGGGATTAACATCCAAAATATATAAAGAACTCACACACCTCAACACCCAAAAAGCAAATAACCCAATTAAAAAATGGGCAGAGGATATGAACAGACAATTCTCCAAAGAAGAAATTCAGATGGACAACAGGCACATGAAAAAATGCTCCATGTCATTGATTATCAGGGAAATGCACATTAAAACCACAATGAGTTATCACCTCACACCAGTTAGGATGGGCAACATCGACAAGACAGCGAACAACAAATGCTGGCAAGGATGTGGAGAAAGGAGAACCCTCCTACACTGCTGGTGGGAATGTAAACTAGATCAACCATTGTGGAAAGCAATATGGAGGTTCCTCAAAAAACTAAAAATAGAAATACCATTTGACACAGGAATTCCACTCCTTGGAATTCACCCAAAAAAACAAGATCCCAGATTCAAAAAACATATGCACCCCTATGTTTATTGCAGCACTATTTACAATAGCCAAGATACAGAAGCAACCTAAGTGTGCATCAGTAGATGAATGGATAAAGAAAATGTGGTACATATACACAATGGAATATTATTCAGCCATAAGAAGAAAACAAATTCTACTGTTTGCTACAACATGGATGGAGCTAGAGGGTATTATGCTCAGTGAAATAAGCCAGGCGGAGAAAGACAAGTGTCAAATGATTTCCCTCATTTGTGGAGTATAACAACAAAGCAAAACTGAAGGAGCAAAACAGCAGCAGATTCACAGACTCCAAGAAGGGACAAGCAGTTACCAAAGGGGAGGGGTAGAGGAAGGTGCATGGAGATGGAGGGAGAAGGCGATTAAGGGGCATTATGATTAGCCCACATTATGAAGGGGGGTCACAGGGAAGGCAGTATAGCACAGTGAAGACAAATAGTGACTCTAGACTATAGCATCTTACTATATTGATGAACAGTGACTGCAATGGGGTTGGGGGAAGACTCAATAATATGGGTGAATGTAGTAACTACAATGTCACTCATGTGAAACCTTCATAAGATTATATATCAATGATACCTTAAGGAAAAAAAGAGTACAGGATTCTCAAATAAGAAATCAGAGTCAGATTTTTTTTTTAATTTGCAACACTTGATCACAGTGATTTGCTAATCTTTGACAAATCTACTTTATTTCAAAGGGGGTTTATGTGCCCACTTCCCACCGAATGTCATCAATATCTGACCTTTGAAAACTAAAATTGACATTTATTGTACTTCCCACATTATGCCAGCATTGCCAATTATACTTCAGATATGACAGATGCTCACCTGCCCTCTGGCTAAAAATAGCTGTCATCAATGTCAGAAATGGCAAACGTTTGCTGCCTGCCTAATAGCCCATTAGGCCACTTTGTGAAACAAGCAGATGAATCTTTCACCAAAGGATAGCCTCTCCTTCACCCAAAACAGGGTGCCCAGAACCTTTGCATGTATCAGTTGCTGAGATGGCTTTTATCAGATAAAAACAGATCAGGAGCATCCCAATTCACAAGCATAAGCTGCATACTAGATCCTGCAGAACCCAACTGCACTATAGTTCTGGGACAACAATCCAGAAGCCATCAGGCTCAGAGAAGCTTCTGCAAACCTTAGCACTCGCCTCCTCTCCCCATCTTTGCCAACACCATGTAACATAATTTCAGAGATGCCGTAATGGGTTCTGTACTTCAATTCCAGATATCTATGTGTACAGCTAAAATAGTTCTACCACGTTTCCCTTGAAATGCATCTGTGCAATTTACACTAAAATAATTCTCCTTGCTGAAAAGCTTTCACAAACTTTCTTAATTGCTTGAAGCAATTACACTATATTGTAATTATCGCATTGCCTTGTAATTATTTGCTTTGTGAATGTATCTCCCCCCACACACACCTCCTCTATCTCCAGACGTGAGCTCTTTCAAAGAGCTCACTGTGGCCTCAGTATCCACTATGTGCCTGGTACATACGAAAAATCAGGAACTTTGACTGAATTGAGTAAATGTGAATTGAAGCTGCTATGTCAATAACTTCTTCTTTCCTAGATGCTATTATGACCCCCATAACTTAAGTTATATTTGAAGGGTTATTCAACAAAGCTTATCATGTATCTTGGACACCCGTTGTGGGTCTCTATTAAATGACTACACCAGGCAATGTGGGATACAAGGAGTCACCGTCAGGTATTTAAACATTTGGCTTCTTACATGCCTACCTCCAAAGCTGATTATTAGTGTTTCTAAGGCAAATCTCACATTAAATTAAATAAGAATGTTGTGTTGTGCTTAGCTCAATGTCTAGCACATGGGAAAGCACTTTGACCATTAGCTCTCTGCTACTATGTTCTGGTTAGTGTTGCCAGTAATGATAAAGGCCCCTGATAGGGGAACACTTCAGGTAATGTCTTCCCATTACTGAAACCTGCCCTATCATTTTGGGTCAGTGACATTTGGTAACAATCATCCAGACACCTGGCCACAATCTTTTTCCTGAAACCAATGAATGATTGCTCTGTTTCATTTTACTTGTTTCTCACTCCCCTGACCCCCTCAAAAAGTGACATATACCTGGTGGGGCCCCTGCATGCCAAAAATAACTAGGCAATAATGAAGTGAAGAGAAGAAAGATGTTTTTAGCTTCTTTAAAGTTTACCAATCATGGGATCCTTGTCACCAAATGATAAAAGACCGTCCTTCATATATAAATGTACAATGAATCTTAACCTTGCAACCTTATGTGGAAAAAGTGAAACAGGAAAGAAATGATAAATGCAACAGAGGCAGCTGGAGCTCACTCACAGCAGGAACACATAATTTAAGTCTCTGAGGATCCCTGACTAAGAAATGCCCTAACCAATGGAGGCAGATACTCTGATCTTTGCTAAGAAATCACATGCAAAGCTAAGACCCAAAGCCTGTTATTCTAGGGAAAACAGAAATAGGTAAATTGAGGACCAAATTCTACCCTTTAGTGACCCCACCCAGATGCAAATTCCCAATAGGAGGTAGCCTGCAACCATCAGTAGGTCTCACCACGTATGAAGGACACCAGGAGGGATGAATAGGTCACCACAGTTACTCCCTGGGCAACTTGGAGACATGCTCGAGTTAAATCCCAGGAGTTGCTGGATCCTTGATCACTAACTTCTAGTTCATTTCTTGCGGGGGCTCTTATAATTTTAGAAGCACACTCAAGTCTATGAGGCAATCCTAACCAACCAAGGCAGCTCTGACCCACAGACATTGATAGTTTGTACGGAATTGCCACTGGGTTCTGAGACCTCCACAGACCTCAGAAGGAGACACATCCATCTGTCCTGACCAAGCTGTGAAGGGCATCCAAACCTCCATGACCTCCACAGGTCACAGCCAAAGAAAGAAACTCAGATGTACTTACGCAGGGCATGCCACTCATCTTGACGGATGGTCTTCGTGATGTTGAAAGTGAGGTTCCTGGGGATGGTGGCTGAGGAGTAGTGGTATTTGATGTACGTGCATCGCTCAATTTCTCCTGGCAAAGGGAGACAGGAAGCCAAATGTCAATGAGGTGGCCCCTGTATCAGGAATCGTTCTGGGATAAGGGGAAAAAGGACTCACTCCACATCGGGCCTGGAGATACCTACCGTTACACAAGGCAGCTTCGACTCCAAAAGAGCAGGAGAGTACAACTAAAATCAGACATCGTTAATTTAAATGGAAAAATACATCTGTGGCACCATGCAGCAATGGGAAGAGCCAAAAAGTTTAGTCTGCTAGCAGCTTGTTTAGTACCCATGTTTATTTAACCTGAAGAAAATCAACTTTCAAGTCAAGGGAGGAAGTTTGTCATCAAACAACATTAACAGTTTGACCCACAGACCAAAAGAGAGTAGACTGTGGCCCGAAGGGTGCCCTTTGTGCTGTAGCATATGCTGTCTTGAGGACTGTGAGCTGGAGGAGGCCCCTTCCCTTTCCTCTGTCCCATGCCCTTAACCCGTCCTCTGACCACAAACCACTCAACTCAGTCTGTATCTCCGTGAAACAATCTCCTCAGGTTTCTTGGACAAAATTAAAGCCCCTTAACACACACAACACCCAGTCCAATAGAAGCTTTACTGATAAATTGTTCCTCACCCATGCATGCTTTGCTAGTCGAGTTACCAAAGCACTCCTACATCCTAGAGCAGACGTACTCTGCTAATCTAAGTGTGGTCCTTGGACCACAGCATCAGCCTCCCTCTGGGAACTTGCTAGAAATGCACTTTTCCAGGCCTAACCCCAGACCTGCTGAACCAGAAACTTGGAGGTAGAGTCTGCAATCTGAAATTCAGTGAGCCCTCCAGGCCACTCTGCTGCACACTTTTGAGAGTCTAACAGAATTGCCAGCGTATTGATTCACAAATCCCGCTTGCTAGCAAATTCTAAAAGGCAGGAATGCCGAAGAGTTCTTCCCTCGTTACTTTCAGTCTCCTGCAGGCATTTCTATGGAAGCTTGCACATCTGGGGGATATTAAAACTCAGTGTCAGAGCATTGTGAGGAACCAGGAAAGGAGTGATTTTTAAAGGTTAAGGGTTTTAAAATTTGGTTTTGCACCTGACTGGATTTTGATGGTAATCCATTTTGCACCCCACTGATTTCCAATTTATAAGTGGTGGCGCCTGATTGAATTGTTTGACCCCTGGCTCACTGTCAGCAGGGAACCTGGCAATTGGTGGAGTGCAGTAATTTAGACAGTGCCTCGCATGAAACCGATGCCTTATTGTAAATCATATCTGGACAACTGCCCAACTGCCTGTTATTGGCAGACAGTCCTCCAGTGGGACAGACACTGTCCAAACAGGCAAACTTTTGGGAAAGTATTATTCACTCTTTTCCTGTTATCTTTAATTTTGCAACTCCTCTGCCTCTATACCCTTAGCCTACAAACCTCCTGAAGTCTCTCACATGCCCCCAGCACTCCCGTGACCACATCCCCACTGTCTTCCTGCTTCCCTGACTTGCTGATACTTCTTGAAAAAGTAGCCTACCAGTCTCCACTGCAACTCAAATGCACACATCCAATTTCCACAATTCCCATGAATAGCACTGCCCCCCACCCAGTGTCCAGCATCACAAACCCCAGAGTCCTCTCCAAGGCTTCCCCTCTCTGGTGGTTCCTCTTCCCTGACATTCTGCTGGTCACCAGATTCTGTCAGTTCCGCCTCAGCAATGCCCCCAGAATCCAGCCCCTCTCCCCTGTCCTCACTCCTTCTATGGTAGTTGTACAAAAACAATGACTCAGCTCAGTCAACAGCCACATTTACTGAGGACTTACTGGGCAGGAGAGTCTTGCCAGGAACTTCGCACACCAGTGGTTTCCAGCTTTACTCATGCCGTGGTGCACACAGACTAGATGTGCAGGAGGCACCCAGGGCAAACAGCTCTGCTCGCCCAGCGCTGCCCTCCTCCCTGCGGGCCGGAGGAACCAAGGCACTAGCAACACATTCACATCCTGTGCTTATCCCGCCAGGGGAAAGCTCTGTTGCGGAGAGTGTCTTAATCCTTTACACAACCCAATTAAGTAGGTGTCATTACCATAATCATCCCTATTTTACAAATAAAATGAAGGCTCAAGAAGATTAAGTGACTGGCCCAAGGAAACAGCAGTAGCAGGACTAGAACCCACATATGACAGGAGCCTCCCTCCACCCTGCTGCTTGCATGTGTTCCGGAAAGGAAAATGTGGCCTTACTCATGGGATGAACGCCAGTTCCCTGAAGCTCCCACCCTGACAACCCTACCCCAGCCAGGCGGCCCCCACACCTGCCCTGAGTAGGCCGGCGCCACCATGCCCCAGCACCCACTCTCCCCGCCTGCTCACACTGGGAGGAGGTCAAAGGGCAGCTGCCGGCACAGCTCCCTGGCATGGACGACAGCACCTCACACTGGGTGCCCCATGGGCCCCCCTCCCCGGCCTGTCCTCCACAGCAAGCACACCACCAGCTGTGATTTATCTGTCACGCCTCACTCCCCTCCTAGATCATGAGTTTCTCAAGGGCAGGGACTTGTCTTATTCATCCATTTTTGGCTCCCTGGCTCCAGCCCAGGGTGAGCACCAATAAAGAGTGCTTTGAAGAAAGAAATGATAATATGAGGCACTCTTTGTAAGACCCCAGTGGGCAAGGAATCCAACTGTTTCTATCATATACAAGGGATTTAAATAATTGAGGAAAATTAGGACCTAATGAATAAAAGGAGGAGAGGGTCATTACAGAACTCTGGGTCTACAGCAAACACTTCTTCCTGTCTGGACATTGAGGAGGGGCTTGCCAGTCACAGTGAGGAAGAAGAAAACACATATGCACAGAGCAGCATCTCAAGGCACTTTGTAAATGTAATCCAAAGGTCAGTTAGGTTCAAGGAAGGGAGGAAGGAAGGAAGGCAGGAAGCTGGGGAGATAGAAAGAGTAGAGAGTTGTAGCAAGAACACCATCAGCAGCTACTTGGGCCTGTACAGTTGAGCAGGTTGTGCCCTGATCAACGGCACCTCCCAAGGATACCTAGATGCTAAGGTCAGGCTGCCTCTGTGCTTGCCAAGCCTTGCTCCCTGGCTGGGTATGAGAACATGCCCCCACCGGAGGGGTTGGCTTTGTCTAATTTGCACAAAGTTGTCATATAAACTAGCAGGTGCTCCACACTCCATTATTTCAAAACTAAACAAAACAAAACCCTCCCTGGACCTATCTTCAAAACAAGATCCTACTGTTAAAGGCCAGACTGGTACTCATCACTAATGTCTGATTAAAGCACCTGATTCCTTGGCTAAGATCAGGTTCTCTCAACCTCAAAACAAACTCAATAAGCAGCCACAGGTTCCAGGCGGGCTGCAACCAGCTCCCATAGCCTCCCTCACCCCAGGCCACACAGCTCTGGGCAAGATCAAGGAGCTGACAGACAGACACTGAAGGTGGCCAGCCAGGAAGCCTGGCAGGAGCTACCGAGGTAGTCCGCTGGGGGCCTCAGAATTTGCTTTGCCTCTGGGATGCAAGCATCCTGTCTCTGACAGCAATTAAATTTGAAAGACTCAAATATTGCCTAAGAAGGAAGGCAAAATATTTATCCATGTGTCTGCAGGTCCTGTCAGTGTGCTGGGCTTTTGTAAATACAGGCACCATCTGGGCACCAAATTCGTGTGCCCAGAATGTGGGCTTCCCAATACAAACAGGTTTTGCTGCAGCAAACGGTGCAGAGGAGCAACCTGGAGTCAACCGAGAAGCCATGGCCTTACCTGGAAGGACCAAACCCGTCTCCCACTCTGCCTTTAGAGCTGGTGACCCTCCTGTGTGTCAGGGCCCCAGACAGGATACCCAAAAGAAGGGGAGTCACAAAAGTGGACGATTTACAAAGCAGAGCACAGGGTATAAAGAGACCAGTGAAGGGTCACACAAGAATTTGGGGGGCAAATGAAAGAGCTGGTGTAACCCCCAGGCCTGGAGAGGCAGAGGAGCAGCAAGCTGGCACCAGAACCGCGGGAGATGCAGCCTTCAGCACAGGGTCACGGCCAGCCTGTGGTGAAGCCCTCTCCCTTTCTGAAGGCAACACTCCAGCCTTCTCCTAGGCCAAGGCAGGCATGTCCCTCCTCCCCTCCACTGCAAAGTCTTCTGTGGCAAAAGGAGACATGGGGACAAGGAGCCTGGGGGAGACTGTTCCCATTCTTTCTCTCCATTTCAAATCCATTAGGATCCAAGGTATATGCATGATAACTCACATCAAGTACTAAATGTGGTGACTGTATGCAGTAAGTGCTCAATAAATATTAGTTACTAATATCAACTGCTGCCCTAAGAGGGCAAGACCACAAGAAATCAGAATATTAGCAACCAATGTTTACATCATATATTGTGTGTGTCTGTGTGTGTGTATGTGTGTAAAAGAGAAAAAGTCTTCACACACAGTAATCCTAGGAAGCTGGTAGAGAAAAGCTCTGATGTGTGTTATGGACATGAGGAAACAGACCAGAAAGAGGAATGGCAGACATGGTACGCAAACACCAAGTTCTGGATTTGAGCCATACTTTATGACAATGCCAGCAGGTGGCTCTCCTCTCGGGTCCATCTGCTATCAGCAAGACAGGGCTTCCTAAGTACTCCTGGAAGAAGTCTACTACTCCAGTTACATAGATTAAGCAGGAACCTTCTCAGAAAACATGACTTCAGAGGCAGCACAGGATCCACCCCCACTCTATTTAAAATGATCTTCCCTAAACATTTAGTTGCTATTGTACTTCAATTTCTTCCATTAGAGAGTCATTCCTTTGGATTAGATATTTTACCTCAATAAAACTTGTGGGGAGTGAGTAGAGTGAGGCAGGCTGGGTATGTGATGATCAAATGTATTTTAGGAAACCTAGGCTAAACAATATTTAAATGGTTTATTTGTTGCAGGACTTTAAGAGTTTTTAATGTACATTATGACTCCCCCCAAAAGAGACAGATATGGCATGCGGACTTTCCAAGAATCCTTTGACCCAAAATCTTTTTTTTTTTTTTCAAG